AACAATAGATAGCTTACAGCATCAGGATTTTGGATTTTTACTTGCTGTGAACAAGCCTCTGCTTCGCATGACTTTTCCAGATCTTACTATAGTCTTTTAACAGACTTAAAGCAATTATTGGGGTGCTCATAACCTTTTGTGGAGAGGACTCCCACCAGACATCTTGGGAAAAGTATGACAACACCTGTGATTAGGGTTCCAACGGGCTGGATGTTGTGATGAACCCTTAACCATTGTTCAAATGTTGCCCATGCCCCCTCTGACTCGGTCTCTTTGCCTCAGCATTCCCTAACCCAGCAACCGAGCTTTAGTCAATCAAGTTTAAATAGACCTCCCATAGTGGGACCGGGGAATGTACGGCCCGAGATGCCTATTAAACTTAGAGGTGTGTTTGTGTCTGGGGTGGGGGGGAAGTCCTTAGTAAATCCAGATTAGAATTGGTCTGATAAATGCTGAGCTGGGTGTGTGTGAACATGGGTTGATTAGCATTTGGAGCACAGATTCCCCATCATACAGTGCTCCCCTGCTTCTCTGGTCCCAGAATTCACTGCAGTCTCTGCTTCAGGCTTTCTGTTCTCCATCTCTCATGTAAATGAATGGTCATCTGGTTCCATCTCGGATGCAAATGAGACCTAGGGCAGTTGTTTCACTCTTGTCACCCTTATCTGGAGGGTCTTAGGTGTGTCTCTCACTGCATCTTAATCAGTTTTGTTTATGTAGAGGAGGGGAGGGAGGGGGGTGAGTCCTTGTGAGTCAGACAGACTGCATCCTGTGCCAGGGTTGCCCAAGAACACAGAGCTGAGGCGTAACATAGGGGTAGCACCGAATTGTGATCTCAGGCTCCTGCTGCAGATGGGAGTTATCCTGTCAGCTGATGGGGCTCCCAGCTGTGGGGACATAGCTATGCTACACACGCAAATTAAAGGTGGATAGAAACCAGCTGTTAAGTTGGTACACATTTTCCCACTGTAACTATATAGTTGGTTGGACCTTTATATGGCATGATAGTTAATTTGCAAGTGTAGCCAGTCTAAACGAATTGCAGTTAGCCTGGTAATTCAGTCTTAACAAATTGTGCAGTTAACCTGCTAATTGTCTGATGCATGTAATATGTAGAGGGGGGCCTAGTTTCCATTCTTGATTGCATAAGCCTTGGTAGACAACAGTAGCAGTATGTGCAATGTGAATGTACAGGGAAAAGCAATATCCACACTGCTTTAAGTGGTAGTATAACACACTTTTTAATGTCACCAAATCCCCCCAAAAGTGATTCACCTTCTAGGAATTCATAATGTACTGACAGATTGTCTCTGCAGGAACTTTATAAAAAAACCACAAATGGTCTCCAAATGACAAAAGTATTTGTTCGCTATTTCTCAAGTGGAGTTTCACTGCTTTGGACCTATTTTTTGCCAAGGAAAACAAGAACTGTCATTCTTCCTTCTCCAGAGAAGATGAGAAACCTTCTGCCATAATGCATTCCTTATTTCATGCTTCTTACTCTTTCGCCATGGATTTCCTTTGATTCTGTTAATACCAAGAATCCCCAGGAAGCTCAGTGAAGAAGTACTAAAAAATAACATGATAGCCTTGTCCTCACCAGGGGAATTTTGGTACTAAAATTTCCAAACCTTCTGTGGCCAACTCTGTTACTTTGTACTGCTTCCAAACATAGTATTACAAAACCATGGAAAAAGCCAGCATCCTGATCCACATACTCCCCACCTCACAGCTTTGGGTGCATAATGACATTTGAAAAATCATGTTTCTCAGAGGTCCAAAACATCCTCAGCTATAGCAGAAAAAATTCTGCCAGATAAAGGGTAATTGGCAAAATAATGGTCCATGACCATAAATTGTCTTCTTTCAGGGATAATGTCCTAGGGCATATATACACATAACTTTGTCTGTTCCAACACACCACAAATCCAGCACATCAGAGCAGAGAAGCACACGAGCACAATGATGTGCCCAGCATTGTATCATGTGCATTTGTATAAACAGCGAAATGCACATTAGCAAGCAGAAAATGGTAGCGCACTTTTGAACTAAAACACCTTCAACGTGTTTTAGTTCAAAAGCGTGCCACCACAATTTTCTTAGCGCTAACGCACATTTTGCCATTTATAGAAATGCATTTGAGGAAATGCCGAGCGGTTTTTAAAGTGCCTGGCACAGTGATGCATACATATGTAGAAATACCCCTAGATACTCCAGAATAGCTGCTGAAGTGCAAGAAATCAGGTCTATCTGTGTTCTCATTCCATGCATGTAATGGTATCTGTTCATAGAGATTCTATATACTCTTATGCCCTTGATGGCCAGGTTTTAGGGCCTACTTCTCAATAAGAGAACATTTATGTGCTTTGGACGGCATTCTTGTTTATGTAGACGGACAGAAATGAAGCACTTCAGAGTCTTTCCCAGGTTATTGGTATAATATGGACAGAAGGATTAGGATCAGGTTGTTTCAGCTGAAAGACTCAAAAGTTGGTTATTAAATTGTGTTATGGACTGCCTGGAATATTCTTACTGTTATGAATCTTAGCCCATTTTCAGAGCTCTAAGTACCTCAATAGCCTCTCTAAGAAATAACCTGTCATGGACATTTGTAAGGCAGCTTTTGTTTTTCCATTCCAACACTGAGCTATTGAAACTGATTTGAACATGTGCAGGGTGCTCTTATGGTAATTGTTTAAGTAGATTCCTAGTAACTATCTCTAGCAAATTAGTCACCATCTGTGTTATACATAAAAAAGTTTATTTATATCTTTTGATGAGTAATTCAAGAAGAAGCTCTTATGTGAGTTACCATGATAGTTAATTACCTAATTACCTATGTTTTTTTGAGAAGTATGGTCCAAGGGTAGGCAATTATTTCAGCTGGAGGACCAGTTCATGAATTTTGGTGAGGGTTGAGGGCCTCAAGGGTAGCTCTGCTCCTTGACAGGTGCTGTGCCCCTTAGTTGCCATCTTTGTACAAGAAGTCCCTCCCCTTAACCTCTGACCTTTGTCACCAAAAGTCCCTGTCCTTGCCCCAGAAGTTCTCCTTTTGGGAAGGGGGTTTGCCATCTTGGAACCAGAAAAAAAAAATTATATACTAAAAAATCTACAGTCCACAATAACATGTTTTAATTTTATTTTTAAACAATCTTTGTCCTGATTTGTGTGTTTGCATCATGTATATAGAGGTGATCACATAATAACTCAAAATGAAGTCTTATTCTTGTATATTGCAGGAGGCAGGGAGGGAAGGTGTAGGGTAGGGGTGGGCAAAATACGGCCTGCAGGCCAGATCTGGCCCTCGAGACCATTCTATCCGGCCCGTGGGGCCCCTAAACAATTTAGAAAATTAAAATTTATCTGTCCTTGGTTCCTGTCAAAAATGACAGGAACCAGGGGAAGTAGGACCCAGGGGAAGCCCGGTGGGCTGCCACAACAGCAGGGCCCGCCTGGCCCTGCCCCGCCAGCCAGAAGCTCCAGCAGGGGCTTCTGGCCTGGGACCATGTGGCTGCACTGTGCCAGAATCTCAGGTAAGTGGGTGGGGAAGGGCAGGGGAAGACCCCAGGCAGGGAAGGACCCTGGGGAAAAGCAGCCCCTTGCCCACCCCGTGGCCGGTGCTCCCTGCTGCAGCTGCTCACAGCCTGTGTGGGGCTGTCCTGAGCAGGCACCGTCAGCCCGAAGCGGGCTGTGAGCAGCTGCAGCACAGGGCGGCGGGCAAGGGGCTGCTTTTCCTCCACACTCAGCACCAATAAACAATAGTGCAATAAACATCTTTTCATAGCAGCCTCTTGCATCGTATGGCATGCCCACTGGTGAACAAGGGCCATTGTATATTGAAGTTTAATAGTTCACTCCTAAATTTTGTTCATAAATAATTAGATACTTTCAAGGATGCAGAGAGACATCCCTGAATATAACCCAGATTTTCTAGTTTTGACGTGTCTGTTTTTCATGCTTTTCTTTTAAAGGGCTCAGGATATCTTTCGCCAGGCAATGAAATCTCAGAGTGTCATCTTGGAAGTGGTTCCTCCATATAACCGTGAGGCATATGAAAAGTCTGTCATTGCTCCTCTTTGTTTGCTTGATACTGAGGAAGGAGTTCCAAAAACAAAAGTTCCACCACCTGTTCATCCAAAACCAGCTATGAAAACAGTTGATCTCTCTGGTATGAACAGCCTGGACACATGTGTACAGGCAACACTACAACAAACCAAAAGTCCTAACTTGCCAAGGTTGGGAAGGAAACCATCCTCACCATCACTGTCTCCTCTGCTGGGATTTGGCAACAAAAAACATGCAAAGAGAATAAAGATAGACCTCAAGAAAGGTGAAGTTTCAACAGTTAACCATGATGTACTGTTAATATTGCATGCTGTCTTTTTTATGTTGTAACTTTTATTTAAACAGTGCCATGAATGCTCATGTAGTTTAGTTTATTAATATTTTAGGAAAAGATGAACAAAATTGTTCCAATACATCACTGGTCACTCTTGTCAAATATGTTTTACTCTGTTTTATCTTATTTTGGACCTCATTGAGAGAGAATGGTTTACATAAAATAGGAGAAACAAGAAGAACAGGTAAGGAATAGAATAATTCCATGCCTCTAGCTAGTAAAGGTGCTTATTTGGTGATAGTGAGGCAGCATAATAAGAAAAGATCAGAAGAGGAAATGTATGTTTAGAACAGTGGTGCCCAAATTTTTTTGCCCCGTGGGCCAGGTGGGCAGTGCCAGGTCTATCCATAGGATGGTACACAGGCCCGATGCAACAAGAGCCTGATCTGGCTTTGGGGAGGTACACAATGCAACCCTAACCAGTCCACCTGGGGAACAGGTAGCAGACTGGCCCTGATCTGGACATCTGGTGGGGAGGTGGCAGAGCAGGCCCAAACTGGACACCCAGAGGGGTGAAGCGGCTCAAATCCGGGCATGTGGTATGTGGGGTAAGGTTGGAGGGAACATGGAGCATTCCAGCCCAATCCAGACGTGGCGGGGAGGGGAGGCTAGCTTTGCTCCCACTACATGGGAAGTGGCCTGGGTGGGGCTGTATCTAGCCCCATGGAGTTTCCACCACTCCCCCACTGGCAAATTTTCTGGCCCATGGGGATCCCCACAGCCTGGATGCCTTGGCTATATGGGCTGGATTTGGCCAGTGGGCTGAGTCTTGAACACTCCTGATGTAGAAGGAGTAAGAAATGTGGCCTAAAATTACTGTAACAGTCCAGCCAGTACATGAAGTGTAACAGTGGCATTTAACAAAGTTTGGTACAGCCCTACAGAGCCACTGGACTTCAGAAGGTGGGATTTAAAACACGTATATATAATTAATAGATTCATATTTTTGTCATGTTTTTGTCTGCTAAACCAGGGGTGCTCAACCCCTAGCCTGTGGGAGAGTTCTGGCCTACAGATTCACAGCATTCACTCCTAGGGCTCCCCAGAGGTCAGGAAATTTGCAGCAGGGGAGCAGTGGCAATTAATACTGATACTTCTCCCCTGCTGCAAAATTCTTCAACCCCACCTGGTCAGGTTGGGGTTGGGCCATGCTTCCTCCCCCTGTGTTGCTGGATCAGGGCTCGGCTGCCCCCCGTCCCTTTAACATGGTGAATCGGGCCCCACACACTGGATTGGTTCCACCAGATGGATCCAGGCACCATCCATCCAGCCTTTGGGGCAAAAAGGTTAGGCGCCATTGTGCTATACTAAGAAAGGGCACTTGGTTAGCGCATTTCTCTTGCTTATGTAGGTAATTCTATACATCAAGTCACCCCTTAACTTTTCTTTTTGATATAGTAAATAAATCAGAGTCCTTTTGTCTCTCACTGGTCACATCTACAAGGGACGCTACTGCGCAGTAGTTACTATGCATTTATTTAGTACTTGCTTATACAAGTACTAAATAAAAGCACAGTAACCAGAGTTACTTCACAGTAGCTCCAGCAAATGTCTTTTAAGTGACACTACTGCACAGTAGCCTAATAATACTGCACAGTAGCATATTGACACTTTCCGTGCTGTGACACGCTACTGCACAGTATTATTCAGCTACTGCGCAGTCAGCATCTTGTAAAGATGTACTCAGTGTAACATATATATTCCAATCTTTTAATCATTCTTGCGGTTATTCTCTGAATTTACTCCTTTTTCTTGAATTGTAAATGCTAGAAATGGATATGCTATACTGGTAACAGCCAGTACCAAATACAGAGGTAATATAATCTCTTTACATGTACTTAAAATTCTCCTGTGAATCTAAGGATTATGTCATTTTAAACGTAATGTCCCACTATGAGTTCATATTGCTTTTAAAACTTTGAATTCCTATTTGAAATCTGTGGGTTTTTCTTGCGAATTATGTGTGTATACCTAACAGTGCTAACATTGTGTGGTACCTTGCAGTATCCTTGAAAAGTTCTCAAAGTACCCCTCACCCCAGGGTGCTGTGGCATGCTGGTTGAGAATCACTGCCCCAAATAACTGCTTTTTCAGACTGATTGCTTTCCAGAACAGAATCCCCTATATCCTGTGTCCTTAACATTGTGCCATTATGAAGCACATACTGTTTGATTGCACTCAGCTTAGCATGTAGTCCAGTATCAGTGACATTTGTTTCATTGTTAACTGCTCCCACAGACTGTCATCTGATAAATTATATTATGATATCTATAAGTTATTCATAAAAATACTAAAATAGTATAGGCCAAGAACTAACACTTGCAGGGACACATTAGAAACACATAGTCTAAGCATGCATACAGATATTCATTTCTACCAGAAAAAAAATTGTTCTGGTAGCAAAATAACCTGAGCACTGGACTGTACATATGTTCCTCCAGGCAGGAGCACCAGAGAGCTGTGCTCTGGGCCACCCCTATCATTAAGGGAGCACATTTAGTACTTTCAAGTGGCACTAAAAGACAGCAGCTACCACAGACAGAGAGGGGTTGGGGGGTTCCCACCCCAGAAGAATGCTCCCCCCACATCCCATTGATCAGCTGATCAGCAGGGAGGTACGTTTTCTTGATGTGGGAGCCCTCCTGGTTCTCCCCAAAGAGGAATAGCCATGCCCCAGAATAGCCATGTCCCAGAAGGCTTCCTACAGAGTCTGCCATGGATTAGCTGGGCTTGGGGAATCTGACAGGACTGGGAGATGGGCTTGAGGAAAGTCTCCACATCAGGTTCTTGGTCCCTCTGGCTTTTAAATCACCGTCCCCAACATTCAGCTGAGTGGTTGGGGGATGTAAGGGGAAACTAGCATGGCTGGGAGTTTGGCTTGCAAACTGATTGGGGGATTCAGGGGTAGCACACGGAATTAGGCAGGAGCTGAGCAGAGGGAACAGCATGGCAAATCCCCTGCCTGCTTTTCACTCCAGGAACACCAGTTTGGGGTTCCCTTTCCATCTACAGGCAGTGGTGGGGAGGCTGTCCCATGCCTTCTCCAGACTAGGCAGTCCTGGTCTTGGGAAGCATCTTTCCCTATAACTCAAAGTTTAGCTGGGAAAAAGTGTTCAGATGTTCAGTCTCCTGAGAGAAACTGTCCCAGAAGCAATTTAATCCTGGTTGTTCCCAGGTTTTTTTTCCTTGGAATGGCCATTTTTGCTCTGAGAGAAAAAACTTAAACGTCTGCACGCTTTGTTTACTACTGAGTGATTCTCTCAGTAGAAATTGAATGACTGTATATGGCCTAAAATAGAATTCCCTGTCTGTAGTTGCCCTTTGAGATCTATTAATCTAATTTTAATTCTTTTAATAGGACCCAGGTTAATTTTTTTTTACTGTTCTAGTTCCTTAATCAAAATGTATATGGCACATATGGTTCAAATATGATATTTGAACACTTAGCTTTATCGAACTTGTAATTTCATAAGAAGTTATTTTGCAAAGATTTATTTTCCATAAACCCATGTTGATCAGCATCAATTATATTCCCCTCCTTCAATTTTCTTAATAAGAATCCCATGTTGACCATTCCATTATTTTATCCAGTATGTGTGTTAATATGATAGGTCTATAATGACCCAGACCATCTTATTTACCATTTTTAAATGTTGATACACTGTTAACATTCTTCAAGTCTCTGGAACTTCTTCTCTAGAATTTTCCCAGAGTTCCAAAATTAACTAAAAATCAGTATAAACATTTCAGAAAGCTTCTTAGCCAGCTGTTTTGATAATTTTTGATGCAAATTATCTGGACTGGCTGATTTAAAAAATCTCTGCAACTACTTAACATATTCCTTTGTTACTAAATCGTATGGAAAGTATTCCATCAACATCATATGCTATGAATATATCCTGTGGCTTTTTTCAAGCAAAGAAACATTTATTGGAGAGCACTGCTTTTTCTGCGTAAGTATTGACAATTCTACTATTTCCATCCAATATTTGACCAATATCATTCTTAGGATTCCTTTTGTTTCAGGATGGTTTTTAATTGGTGCAGCCTAATTTCTCAGTGACTTTTTGGGTGGCACACAGTTAAATGTTTATAAACCAATCCCAATTAGCATTCACATTCTTCTGTTTAAATTATTTCTCCCAGCTGATCTGACTCATAATTGTTTTTGGCTTTGTGAAATTGGTTCTTTTAAAACTGGCTGGGAATTTCATTTACAATTAATAAATGTAATCAATTCATTCTCTCTTGCACCTACGAAACTACTGCTTTTTTAACTTCTGAGATCAAGTCATCTTTATATGTCAAGGTTAGGTCTGATATAGACTTCACCTATGTTAGAAGTAACACTCTTTGAATTACAAAATTTTCATATATCATTTCTAGAAGTGACAACATGCGATCTCCAGGCCCTGTCACTCCTACTGAAGTCCCCCTACACATTAAAGTTAGGCTCTTAATGAAGTCATCCTGTTTTTTCATGTGATGTGTGGTTTACAACAGATACTGACTAGATCTCCATCTTGTTCTTTATCTGTTGAAACATTGACCTATGAGCATTCAGGGTCCTTAGCTTCCAAGTTGTAGACGCATAAACAAGTAATGCCATTTTTGATTATGAGTGCCACTCACCATCACCTTTTGCCTGAGCGAGTGTTGGTTGTAACTAGTGATTTTAATATTTTAAGCGTACAACTTGTCTCACTAGGTTTTCAATAGTACTACCTAGGCACAATGTACTTTTGTAAATTCCAGTTCTTATTTAGTACATGGGCTTCTAGCGTTAGTGCATAGGCAATTTAAAACAATCTTATTTTGATTAATTTTTGGTCTAGACATCTTGATTTTTGTGCTAAACAAGTGCTCATTTTCTTTATTTGTTCCACTCCTTTCGTTGTTAGTTTATACAGGAACCTAAAGGTAGTTTCCTTTTTTTTACTGAGAGATGGAAACCATACAGTTATAGACCAGTGTTCCACAAAACCAGCCATTTCTATCTTACACACCCCATTTACCTAGTAGGTGGTTCACCATTACCATCTTCTTTCCTTTGTTCATTTGAAAGATCTGTGAAGATCACATAAATATTTAGGTGAAGTGAAGACATTCAGGGAGGTTAGAAGGAGGCTAAAGTGGATTTAAAATGGCCAACCAATCTAAGGTAAATTGGGATGGGAGGATCATGGGGGTGCTGGGGGAAGGGAGGGGCAAGCAGGCTCATGGGGGATTGGGTTCATAGGGGAATGAGGGAGCAGGCAACTTCTATGGGGGAATGCGGGGGGGAAGACAGCATCTGCAGGGGCATGGGGGGATAGGCAGGATCTGCGAGAGAATGCGGGGACAGGCAGGATCCATAGGAGGGATTCAGGAGGCAGATGGGGTTTGTGGGGGGGGTTGCTGGAGTCCAGGAGGGTTTGGCAGAATCAGGGAAGCTCAGGAGGGCTTGGGGGGAGCCAGGGGATATTTTTAGTCCCCTGAGGGTTTGGTGGGATCAGGGGGGCTAAATAAAGGGGGACCCCTTGCGGGGTCCTTGGGGGAGTTTGGGGGAAACCAGGGGCTATTTTTAGCCCCCTGAACCCCTCCCCCCCAGTGAATCTCCCTCCCCTCTTCTCCCTCCACTGGGATTTACTTGCTCAGCTCCAGCAGCAGTGAGCAATGATAAAACTGGTGGCACCTGGAGCAGCATGCAGGATGGGAGGTTTGGGGATGTGGGGTTGTCTGGTCCAAGTGAAAAGTACCGCCCTGGGGGGCTGGAGCCAGTGGCTGGGCTTTCCTAGCCCTGGGGCTGCACGGGTAACTGTACAGAAGTTCTGTGACCCAGTCTAACCTAGATCAATTAAGTCTGATACTGCATCAATCCAGGTCTATCCTAAAAAAGGTTCCACAATTTTTAGATGGGTCTGTGAATGCAAATTCTATACAGTTACAGGTTTAGATTGATTTCTGATCACTGAGATTGAGTCTTAGGGTGAGGTGCATACTGGGGCAAACTAAGTTACATTGGGTGGCCATTTTGAACCTGAACTACCATTCCCATTCCCCCCACCACCACCACCACATGTCTGCACTTAGTCTAAGTATCACTTGAAGTTTTGTGAAATTTTCTAAAATCAGTGAGAGAGAGCTTGAAGCATAGTCATCAGTGCCAGCATGCAACAACACCATTGTAGTCTTTCATAAGTATTTGAGTATGTGGTATATCTTTAATACTTGGAGCTTCTGGGACCTCTCCAGACAAATGAAAAATCTGTTGTATATAGATTTCTAATTAAGAATCATTCAGCATTACTTTTTTCATAGATGTTGGCTATTGCATCAGTTAAATCTTGCTCATTTTGCCAACATGTAATTAGTATATTAAAACTTGGATTTAAGTGAAGTTTCAACATCATTCCAAATGCAAAAGTCTAGAACTCTTGGTTCCAAAAGTTCAAGATGATAAAAAGGACAGTTTTCCAGCTTCTGATTCCTCTGTGCAAAAATGAAGTTTATTTCCTACATATGGGGACTTTTTACCAGCTTGAACTTTCCCTGAGCCTGGTGAAGGGCACATGAGCCCAAAAGCTTGCAGAGAAAGATTTTTTTTTTTTTGCAATTTCTCAGTTAATCTAATAAAAGGTATCATTTTGGAACCAAGAGTTCTAGACTTTTGCATTTCTTTGTGTCTCAGACCAACACAGCCACCACATACATCCCTGAAACATAATGCCATGCATTTTGGGATCCTAACTATGACCTGGATATGAAGTTAGTTGATCCCTGTTTCCTGCATGGGCAGATCCAGGATTATGGAAGTGGGGTGTGGAAGCAGCAACTGGCCAACAACCAGTGCTGCAGGGATGACTGCACCCTCTCTCCCAGCTTCCACACACTTAGACCAAGGTGAGCCAGACCATACACCACAGAAGCAGCAGCCAGAGACATTTTAAAATCCCTGGATCAGGTAAGAGCACATACTCCCGTGCATTTTTTACACCATCACCCTTCTCTTTCATGCTGCCACTGTCCCCATCTAACCTGGGAATGGGAGGAAGCTCCTAAGCCATTCCTGTCCCACTCCAGTCAGGGTGCACAGGGAGGGGGCAGTGGCAGTAATTGGGTTCCCCGTCACTGAGCCTACTCCCAGTCTGGTGAGAAACACCTGGAGGGATCAGGCAGGGAGGAGGAACCCACATGTTGCTGTACCTGGCTGAGCCCAGCTTCCCATGCAGCCCAGCTAGAGTGAGGCAGGAACATATCTGGTGACAGTAACAGCAGTGGGCAGAGAAACGGGACAGGAAGAGGGATGCGCTACTGAGCACAGATGGGAAGGGTAGGGGGTGGAATTCTTAATTCCTTCAAGGACATTTTTTAAAAAGTTTCATTTGCTGCTCCCACAGCTTGGTTCAAAATGGGACTGCACCACTTCAGACCCTCTGGATCTGTCCCTGCTTTCTTGTACTTACATTACTAATTCACATAATTTTACAGTAATTTTCTTTGCTGTTTACTACTCTACACAAAATATTTATGAGAATATTCTGTTTACAGAGAACTTTAATAAAGTTTTAGATGAGAGCATAGCTAATCCAAAAATATTGTAGTTTGTTCTTGTTGACTGCACTAGATACTTATGTTATTATGTTGACTGTTCAGCTCTTTTGATAATTGTCATATTCTTACTGAGATTTACCATGAGCCTTCTCTCGTTGTTCCCTAGGTCCTGAAGGACTTGGCTTCACTGTGGTTACCAGGGACTCTTCAGTACATGGCCCTGGTCCCATTTTTGTGAAGAATATATTGCCAAAAGGGGCAGCAGTAAAAGATGGCCGTCTACAGTCAGGAGATAGGCTACTGGAGGTTAGGAACACTTGAAATACCAAATATTCCTGTCATTTTCATTCCTAAGTGCTATTTATTGGCTCTTATGTTTACTACTGATCAAATAATTATAATGTCTTGTTAATTTAAACACTATACGTAGGACCCTGGAATGGAAGAGAAAAAGAACAGTGCTTTCAAACTGCTTGTTAACTTGAATATATTGTGCTACCATTTGGAAAAAAATGCATTTAAAAGTGGTTTCTCAAGACTTTCAAATAAGAGAGATTTTAGAACATGGCAACCAGTTTTTTAAAGTAATTAAATTAATTTAAAAAATAAATCATACCGCTGCAATAATATCCAAGGTTGTGTGTGCATGACGAAGGTTTTTCAAATGCCCATTTAAAACAGCTGTGCTCAGTTTTGTCTGTTCTAAAATTTTAGACATCTTTTGACTTACAATATCATTATCTATGGGGCTATATTTACTCACTAACTTCAAGGAGCTCTTAATGTAAACAGTTTTAATAATCCTTAGCTCTTGTTCTAGTGCTTTCATCTTCAAAGTGCTTTACAAACTAATTAAGCCTCACAAACCCCCTGCAAGGTATGCAAGTACTATAAACCACCTCTAACAGATGGTGAAAATAAGCAAAGAGGTTAAGTGATTTTTGCATGGCCAAACCCAAGTCACGTAGGAACCAAAGCTAAAACTTCTTGGCTCTCAGACCAGTGAACCACACCTTCCCCAGTTCAGAAAAGGGCTATAAACAGACGTCTCATTTGATTTGGGATTGATAGTAGCAAGATTAGACCTAAATTAAAACTGGTATAGTAGAGCCTTGTTACATGCATTACCCTTCCAAACCACATTGTCCTCCTGTGCCATTAGCTGCCCAGCAAGAACACACGGCTTGACAAGCTTGTCCATGGTAAATCACAATAACCATACAGATATTGAACAAGATATCCTGGGGAAAAAGTATTAGTGCATTTTATCCAGCCTATTTCAGAGGCACTGGAAACAACATATTGGACATGCACATCTGTATGGTTCTGGGGCAAAAGGCTTTTTCCTGGGATAAATGTGATGTCTGTTAGTAGCCAGAAAGTCAAGGTTAGCGTGCACTAACGTCAGTGATTTTTCTACTCTTCTTTCCCCTCTCCTCCCCCAACTGCATCCATTAGGTGAATGGCAGAGACATCACTGGCAGGACCCAAGAAGAGCTAGTTGCTATGCTGAGGAGTACTAAGCAAGGGGAGACTGTTTCTCTGATTGTAGCTCGCCAGGAGGAAGCCTTTCTGCCTCGAGAGCTGGTAATGTTTATTCTACCAAGTGTATAGAATTGTTCTGTGTTAAGAAACTGACCCAAGAAATGTGAGCGAACTGTTGTTGGTTAAGAAGCCTGCAAATGGTAATTGTCTTGTGTTGGAGAAGTATTTATATTTAATTTTACTGATTTTTAATACAATTCTATGAAACTTGATTTTCATCCCAGAAGTGATATCATAGGCATAACTCACAGGAGAGTACTGTAAATGAATTATGTAACTATGAGATTGAGACTGACTAAAACGAAATTATTCCTTTTTAGGTTTTAAGAGTTTTTAAGTATATATGATAAATGTAATTGCTTGGACAAATGACATTAGTAGCTCAAAAGCTCTCTACATATCAATGACTGCTTCAGAAACATCCCTACTATTAAGAAACAGGCATCGTCTGTATTAGGAGTGCTTGTGGTCACAAATTGTGCAGTGATGATGTAACAGTTAGGATTTTCTAGGGCTTTTCAGGCAGAAGAGAGAACAACCTTCTTTCCTCACCAGTCAATCTCTGACTATAACCAGTTCTAATATTTGAGAGCTGCTTATGTGTCTAATTTCACATTGAGTTACCAGGCTAGTGTACTTCTGTCAAAAAACATGCTTCATAAGATGCCTTGTGCTGTCTTGAGTATGAACCCTTATTCTCCTTTATCCTAAATATGCATGGGAGGAATACATTAACATAGAGGGTGTTGTCTGATATGTACTCGTTTCCTCCCCAAGAAGGTCTTCCCTTTGGTCTCTTCTTCCTTATCTTGACTGATGAGTATACTTGACCTGTCGTTGAGAATTCTCAGGATAAAGGAAGGACAGCACTTCCCGCTTTTGTCTCATATTCCTTCTCCTTTGAAGAAAACAAACTGCCCTTATTGTTTGGAATTTTTTTAACTTCAAAAGTCCTCTCCTCTTCATTAAATCATTGCTTTTCCTTTGGTTTTACAACCAGTTAACACCATCTCTTATTGCAAATCACCTTCTGTATGTTTTTTCTCAAAACACTTCTTACAGCTGTCCTCTTGTCTCCTTGTTATCAGTTGGTCCTCATTGAGCAAAAAGTGTGCTTTGCATAATGTCCAATCGGAAATCCTAAGTAGGTTAGTTTCTGTGATGTGACTCTTTTCTTTTTGCAGCAGCTGGCCACTTTTCCTGTAGAGCACTCCCTGATCTAGAGCCAGAGCAAAAGTGTGCTGAAAGAATCTATTTTTGTTTTCATTTTTCTTTTCGGTTGAATAATTATGTAAGGGAAAAATTAGTAGCAGAATGCTTTTAAGCCCATTCCAGGTTAATTAAACAATAGTATCACTTGTTATTGGTTCCCACAGTAGCCAACCATATAGGCTGTGGTAAGGTTTTATTTAGAAAGAATCTCAACTATGAACTCACAGTTTGTATGAACGTAAATCAAAGTTTCTAAGTAAATATACATATATAGGAGCAAAGTTCAAAGATAATGCTCTTTTTCACACTTGTTTTAAACAATAAATACAAATAAGCAAAAACCCCAACTTTAGTTTATGTGGGTTAAGTAAGGAAATGATATTGTTTGAAAAGCATTGTGGTATGTTTTGTGTGTGCATGCACTGCATTTTTTACCGCTTCTTGTGTCTATGCCTTTCCCACTTAGTGTTAGTGTTTTATGTTTTGCTGTCCTACTATTATTTTGGAAATTGCAGCAGCCCTTGTCTACTATTACATTTTAAACCTGACAGCAATGGTTTTCAACCTTTTTTAACAAGTGTACCCCTTTTGTCTCAAAGTTTCAGCTCATGTACCCCCTTTATATTTTTTTTTAATTGTTTTTAATGTTACCCATTATATGATATAAGGCAGGGTGCACTAATTAACATTAAATGCATTACTGATATAATGCATTTAATATTAATTAATATAATGGCAGGGTGAGGCAGGAAGGCAGCAGGGGCTGCTGGGCTGTGAGGGTGGCTGAGGCGGGGAAGTGGCCATGCCTTGGCGGGAACCCCATGGGGAGGTGCACAAGGGCTTCAAGTGCAGGCGGCCGCATCTGACAGCTCCTCAACCTGCACCAGCACTGGGTGCAGACATTGTGCGCCATGGAGCCACATCCCCCCAGTGTATCCATGAGTCCCAGTACAGCTGCGCCCTGCATGTCAGCTGCAGTGACGGCACTGCCGGGTGAGCTGGGCCCAGGCCTGGGTTGTCTGAGCCACCACTGCACACATTCATGCACACACGGTACAGGAGATGCAGCCTCCCTTCCCTCCCATCTCACTTGTGTGAACCACACATTAACCCTGCCATGCAGTCCCCGTTGCCTGAGGGCCTGTTCCCCTGTGAGAGCGGAGATAGGTCAGGATTGGCCCCGGGGCTCAGATACCTGCTTCCCCCCAAGGGGGCATTCATCAGTGGGCAGGCTCCAGATAGGCGACAGCAGGGTGCTGCTGCAGGCAGCCTGCTCTTGGCCTCAGCTCTTCGGGCGCACTTAATAGCAGAAGAAAAACCAGAAAGATATATATTTTTAATGCCCCCCAAATTTTTTTATTCTATATTTTTTTTAATGATGCCACGAAGACCACTCAGCCCTGTGTGCCCGCGAGCACCCACCATGCAGGGTGTGTTTGCACACCCCAAGCACAGTAAACAGCCCTCCCAGGAGAGGAGAAACCCTGAGCAGGGCAGAGCTGAGCGAGGCAGTCCGGGGCATGAATAAAAAGGCTTCATCTTCTGTTTGTTGAATCCTGAAGCAAGTTAGCCTCCAAAATATGCCCCCTCCCCACCTCTCCCCCCCACCTTAGCTTCCAAAATATGGGACCTCTACTTAACCTCCAAATACAGGCCCCTAGGCGCAGGACTAGCCACCTGGCTGGAGCAGCGGTGGGTGCTGGAGAGCGGCAGGAGATGGCCTCTCACCTGCGTGCCATAAGCATGTCCTTGGTAGGAGGAGGCCATATTGCAGCCAGCCCCACGGTGCCCCCCTCGCCTGGCCCCACAGTCCCAGGGAAGCTGGGAAGCGCAAGGTCTGTCCTCGCAGTGCAATGCTGCCCTGCTGGGTACAAGCCCCAAGGAGCAGCGGACTCAGAGCAGCCCCGTGCAGGCAGGGTGCGGAGTGGGGAGCCTAGACAATTGGGTTGCTTGCAGCAACAAAAACCCTGCACCCATCTGCGCCTGCATGCAGGCACCTTTCTCTGGCCCCTGCATTCACTGGGCAAAGGCAGAGCAGCTGCCTGGGAAAGGGGGTGCATGCTAGTGGTGAGGCTCTAACCAGAAACACAACCGCAACAGCTCCAGAGGCCAGCAGGAGCCCCACAGGCAGTGCATCCTGTAGCCACTGCCAGGAGCCCCTGCGAGCGGGGCTGTTGGGGAACAGAGGCTTTTGGGCTCTCCCTGCGTGTCTGGCTCAGAGATCCCAGGGTGGGGTGCTCTGCTGTGTACCCCCAGCAGCCCTGAGCCTCATCCCCGTGGGGGCCCAGGCTTGTACTTCCCCATGCTCCCCAGGTTCTCCTAGTCCCTTCCCACCCCGCTGGGGCATCCTTAGCCCTCAGTGGGGTGCAAGGGGGAAATGTCTGTCAGGGATGTGGCTGCTGCCCAGGGTGTGCAGATGGCCATGGGCTGCGGGCAGGTGAAGCCACCAACAGAGCAGCCAGGCAGCAGCACTTCCCAGGGCATAGGTGAGCTGTGTTCAGCTCATTCTGCATACCCTTTATTACCTATTTAAGTACCCCTAGGGGTATGCGTAGCCGCCTGGTTTACAACCACTGCCTTACAGCAAAGAGTAAATATTCTTTCAAGGGCTGGCTTACATCTGACTGCCATGATTAAAATCTAAAAGGTGATCAAATTTGTCCTTCAGATCTGACCTTCATTTAGATTTTTTTTCTCTATCCCCCCTCTATACAAGTATTGTGCAATTAAGTGGTTAATTATGCAATTCCCTTAAGATCATGTAGAGTAGCTATCACACAATAAAAAGCTCCAACCAGCTATAAAGTTAGACCTTGAAAATGTGTGTTCACTTTATAGGTGGTTGCTGTCGAACTTTAATATGCATGTGTAGCAGGGTCTCTCGTGCAACTGCAGCCATCAGCTGACAGGGCTCCCAGCCACAGGGGTACGCTGTGCCCAAGGTGAAACCCCCGGGCCTAGAAAATTGCAGCTGCTGTGATCCCCATGTCTCAGGGGTGCGTGAACCCTCTGGGCCTGGAGGATCACAGCAGCCACAATCCCCAAGGCTAGGGGGTACCCTCAGACACATGCATGCAGCTGAGTCCCAGCTGCATGCATGACAGGTTCTTGACAGGGACTTAACAGGGCGCTCGGTCCTGGCTGTGTGTGTAATGCAGCTAGGACCAAGAGACCCATCAGCTGTGGGACTCTCAATCCCAGTGGCCGTGTGGAGCCCAGGATCAGGCCCGTGTGGAGCCCAAGGTCTGACTCCCTCTACACCACCAATAAGGCATGATTGGATCTAATGTGCAGTCCCACAGTTGCACTTCCTGCCATGCACATGTGGTATGGCAAAGAGGCATGATAGTAGATCACTCATTAGATCCAATAACGCCTTTTTCTGCATGTGTAGAGGGGGCTCTGTGAAAGAATGAGGCACCGGTAATAGTCCTCGTAAAAACAGTGACAACATGTGACTTCTAATACAGTACTGAAGTCCTTTTTAGCTTAGTCAACTGAAATACAATATTTTAATATGTCACATTTATACTAGATGCTTTTATTAAACCACTTGTTTTAATTAGAAGCCTTTTTGTAACATCTGTTTGGTAGCTCACTGCAGAAGCATGGCTTACCATGCTGCTAAGCCACCAGATGTTGGTATTAATGTGGTGATTGGTGGAATTCATGAGACATCTGAAAATAGTCTCTGCAGAGGTTTGAAATATCAATATTAGTTGATTTGGTTTTGCTGTTGTAATGTGTTAGGTTTTTTTGATTTTATTAAAGCCATATTAGACTTATCCTCTGGTACCAAGGAAGGGACACTACTTTTTTGATAAGAGGAA